AATAGCAGCTAGACTATTATTCTCAGTTCATCATTAGGTTTCTCCCCTAAAAATCAATAATTATTTTAATATATCCATGTGTCTTTAAGTTAGACTGAGGTCACTGGTAATGAAAATGAATCTACCTCAGTTTCTGCTGCCTCACTGTGCTAAGTTGTGTCTCAGTTGTGGTTTTTCTGTTTTTTGTCAGGACTTCCTGAGTCGCCCTGCTCTCTTCAAGGAAACATCATCCTTCCTGTGATGGTCACTAGCATCTCACTTTTTCTAGTGATTTTGCTCTTTCTGTTGAAAAACCACCAAGGTCAGAGATTACTTAATCGTACCTTCTTTTTTTGGATAAAGGGAGACATGAATACAGTCCATGTTAATCTTGAACATAGACTTTTTATTTCAAGATGTATCTAAATGTGTCTTGTTTTTCTCAGCAGAGAAATGCGAGTTTTCAGTTGTGCTGTATACTGGAATAAGCAACAAACAAGCATGCAGAACAAAAGGTAAACGGAAACACAATCAGAATGTGAGGTAGCAGTGTTTCCGTTTTTAGTCAGTCCAACAGGATGTTCTTTAGTAAAAAAAAAGTCCATCAAACATCACAGAATGTTAAGTAAATAGCATTGTTTTCATGTTTTGATCACGTTCTACATGCTTGATTGCATATAAGGAATTAGACAGGTTAATGTAAAAGAAAGAGAACATTGCATAAAAATCCAATCAGTTGTTTCTTTTCATTTTAAGGATTACAAATAATAGGGCTGCTCAGTGGTGCAGTGAGGAGCACTGCTGCCTTAAAGCAAGAAGGTTCTGGGTTTGATTCCCGGCCCGGGGTCTTTCTGCAAGGGGTTTGTTTCTCAGGGAGAACATGCATGTCGCCAAAGCGACCTGTCCAGGGTGTACCCCGATGTAGACAGCTGGAGATGGGCACCAGCACCCCTTGTGACCCCACTTGGGATAAGTGTGTTAGAAAATGGATGGATGGATTACAAATAATGTCAACCCAAACTGTGGAGAAAAAAAAAAAAAAAAGATCCTTAATGGAAACTTATGGTGTCACACCTTAATAATGCTATCAGCACAGAGATAATTACTATATTGTAGCTTAATGTAAAGCCAGTCATGAACAAGAGACCAGGTCAGAAGCATCTTATCTAAGGAGAAAATGGACTGAAATGTTGCTCAGTGATCCAATAAACTAAATTCTTTAATTTATTTCGAAATCAAGGTGAAGTGACACAAAATCCACCCTGCTCTTGGGTGTCTCTTTAGCATGTGACGTCATCTGAGGAAGTTTGTCCGAAGTCAGGGCAGCCAAATATCAGAATATTTTACAGCTCTCTGTGGTTCTCTCTGCTGAAAAGCTATATGGAGAAGCTGATGTTATCCCTGCCAAAGGTAGCAAAAGCTATTCCAATGACCGTGGTTTTCCATTTCATTATTGTCCGGCAAACTCCTATAACCTAAACTGATACAAAATCTACAGGTTACTCTAACAAAGAAGGTGAAAAAACACCAGTTCACAAAAGGCAGATGGTCTGAAGGCAGTCATTAAAGTAATCTGGGTTCCATTATATACAGTATAAAGGGCCAAATGATGTTTATCTCTAAGCCACAGTACTTTGATACAGTAAGCCCAACCAAGTACTGGGCATACTTCTCAGAGACCCGACTTTTGTGCTTAAAACATCCTTTTTTCATTGCTCTAATGTAATATTCTCTTATAGACATTGATTCTTGGGTTTTCTTTGCCTGTAGGCCATCATCAGAATAAGAAATAGAAGTTGAATTATTTAGCTCTTTGTGAATCTCTTTTTGATATGACTGGCAAAAAAAAAACAACCAATAACCCCAGCTCTTCTATGCAGTACTAATTGATGAGAAGTACTAGCGAATCACTTAATACAGTTTTACTTGTTAGTTTTTGATATATATATATATTTTTTTTTTCCAGGTCATTTCCAGAGCAGCCACTCCTCTGTATCATCCACCAGGGTCGTATACAGACCAGTCTTCAGACGTGGACAAGCACGGCCAAGGGTGTGGACATACAAAGCCTAGAGAAACGACAGGAGTAGACGGAAAACTAGTGTGTCTCATTTCCTAAATGTCATTTAACTGTTCACAAGGGTAACTGAAACCAAATAGTTCTAAGTTTAATGAATATTAAATATTGAAATGTATTATTTAAGGACAGATTATAAACACACTGGTTGTGGTGTTATTACAGAATTTTAGCTGATTCCACATCAGTTTAAAGTCAATAAGGAATATTGGTGTTAATATGTGGCAGAATGAATTAAACCATGAATAAGCTGAATAAAATAATCTCTGTTTAGGCATCATCGTAGTTCTAGAGTCAATATATTTAGAGAAGAAAACAAAATAGATATCTGATGATCCAGGAAAGGCTGGATTGGGAATATCTGTGGTTTATGTGTCACCTATAGAACGTTTATCACTGTATGTATAAGTTAATGTGATAGTATGAGCAGTAAGCTATTTGGTGCCTTGTCTGAAAGTCACTTTTAACTTCAATGAGTGCAATAAATAAAATATATTAATCATGAATTAGGTTAATTTTTTCATCATCAAATAAAGTTCTTATTTTTTCTAGCATTAGCACCAATTATAAGACTCTAAACTTATAAAGACCAAGGTTGAGCTTTTCAGGCAAATCTGCTCTTATAAAGATGTATTTGATGTTAGAGCTAAATCTGAAGATCAAGCAGCAGTTAGTGAAAATGGTTTAACTGGGGGATTTCTTCTTTATTTTTAAAATGGATAATGTTTTTAAGTCATCAATCGAATTATGCTAACTTGAGTTCAGACATTTCTTTTGAACAGCAACTGGAGACCATGTTGATTGAAATACTTTCTGTATTATTTTCTAGTAACATGATCATGAGGAAGCCCTTCCCTTGGACATATGTTTGAGTTTTTTTCTAACTGGACAAGGTCTTACATAAAAGAAAATCATAGCGCAAAAATAAATTACACTAAGTTTGCCAAAAAAAGATGAAAACAATATCAGGTCATTTATTCATATTTCAATGTGTACTTTTAGTTGAGGTGATATTTCTATAGAAAGCTGTACATCTTAAACAGGAAGTTGTGCTTGCTGTGACAGCAGAGGAGCAGCTAACATTCAGGCCATTATTCAGCCTGTGGGCAGAATGACAATCACTGTTTTACGTGTTGTTGTTGGTAAGTGCTTGAAAGAAATATCCTCTCTTTCGTAAAGAACTACTAAATTATGTCTCACTTTTTAATTATTATTTAAATCCTGTTATCTGAGCACATTTCCCTGTAGATTTCAGCTTTCCTAATGAGAAATATGTAGTAGGAAAACATCCAAGCCTATTATTTAGACTATTATTCATTTTTTTATGCAAAAAAATGCTGTCTGTAATGCGGTCCACATCACTGTGCTTCCTAATACTACAGTGGCAGAAGAAAAGTAGTTTAATCTTCTTTGTAAAATATATTGATATAGTCACAGGAATGAAATGAAAGTGAAATGAAGTGAAAGAAAATTTAAACAGTTTCACTTTTCCATAGTAATAATTCTTGTCCCAAAAGGTCAGTTTGTCCCTCCAGCAGCAGTCCATCCAATTCAAATCCACTTTGTGCTTTCAATTGCTTTCTAAATTCATATCATACCCACGTAGTTAGATCATTTCATGTCTATATCTACACATGGTTTTGGTTAAGTTATGGACATACAACCCTATATTGCCAAACGTTTTCTCTCACCTGCCTTGACTCACATATGAGCTTAAGTGACACCCCATTCCTAATCCAAAGGGGTTCAATATGATAGCGGTCTTACCCTTACACCCTTGCTCCACAGCAACCGTTGTCAACACTGTGGACTTTGTGAACCAAAGAATTGACACATATGAGTTATTTTAGATGATCCTCAGGCCAATATACACTATCAATTTTCAATGTGTAGCGATTGACTCAGCAGAAAGTATGTGATCTCGTCTCACTGTATACTTCAACATCTACTGACCTCAATTTATGGTGGCCTACCGCTTTGTGGCTGCGTCTCTGCCATTCCTAAACATTTTCCATTTTCTTATGATACAGCAGACAGTTGACTGTGGAATATTTAGTGAGGAAATTTCCAGACTGCATTTATTGCTCAGGTGGCATCCTATCACAGTTCCAGGGTGTAATTTACTGAGCTCCTGAGAGTGACTCATTCTTTTATCTATCTATCTATTTTTATAATAGTCTCAATGGCTAGGGGCTGGATTTTATCCAACTGTGGCCATGGAAGTGATTGGAACACCTAATGCCGTAATTTGGTTGGGTGAGGAAATATTTCTGGGTATATAGTATATATGCAATTCTTTCTCAGGCACTATGCTCATGGGTTATCTTTTTTATTTGACCTGAAAACAAGGTAACTGCAGAGGTAACTGTCAACATCAGCTGTCTTTAATAATCTCACCTTCTACATTACACAGGCTTATTTAGCTCTTTTTAAAAGATCCTATGGTGTTTAATCTGGTGTGAGCTGTATCTAGAATTGTGTTCCTCTGTTTGAATTCTCCCCTGATGTTGTTTTTATTTTACTAAATATCCTCTTTTATATCTTGTTCAGCATTTGAAAAACAACCTGTTGATAACAAAATAGCTTTTTAAATAAATTTTAATTTGACTGTTACATCGCCCCCTGTTGACAGCAGTACGTATAACTGTTTTTAGTCAATCAGTTGTTGATGATGAGAAGTGACCTGCTGGTACAGAAGTGTATGACATGCCTGGAAGAAGGGATTTAAATGTTAACTATGTAGAGGCATGTTGAAGATACAACGGACAAGCTGCTAGTGATATCAGTGGCATGATTAGAGCAACAGATAAAGAGTCTTCATTTTCTTCATTTATCAATGCTGGGTGGCCAAGCATGTGTTATTTGCAGATAAGGGGCCACAAATTAGATTAGATTAGATTAGATGAGCTTTATTGATCTCACAGCGGAGAAATTCACTCGTCACATATTGACTTAGTAATAACAGAAGGTACAAACAAGGAGGAAAAAGGTGCATTAAGAATAAACAATATATATACAGTATATCAAGATAAATAAGGATTAGGGTGCAAGTGTACAATTTCCCAAGGGCTGCACTTTGGACACCCATGCATTTAAGTGTGTATGAATGTCACATATCTTTCAAAATATCAGTAAGTTCACATAAAATTCTGATGCACAATACATTGCCCATTACAGATCAGAATATCAGGATAAAGGTGCTGCTGAAGATCCTGAGTCATCCTGGTCACAGTCATAAAAAAAAGTAATAAACAAACCAATGGACTTTGTTTTTCAGGTTTGAAGATGTTTCGCTTCCCATCCAGAAAGCTTTCTCATTTCAAAATGTCTTAAGTAGTATTGAGTTATGCCTCGCCGTTATACTCTGCTGCGTGTTGACAAGATTAAACGCACAAACATCGCCATACCATAAGTTGCTGAAATCTCTGAAAAACTCAAGAGGATTTTCTCCAAACACAAAATAACAGTACATTTCAAACCAAACAAGACCATTAAATGGAGACTAGTGTATTCTAAAGACAAAACCCCCAAACCAAATATGATTGGAGTGGTGTATTTAGTTTAATGCAGCGAGGAATGCTCTGATCTTTATGTTGGAGAAAGCAAACAACCTCTCCACAGATGCATGGCCCAACACAGAAAAGCGGCCTCCTCTGGAAAAGACTCTGCTGTACATCTACACCTTATTGACAAAGGACATTCTTTTGAGGACCACAATGTTCACATTTTGGACAAAGAGGACAGGTGGTTTTAAAGGGATGTGAAGGAAGCCATTTACGTTAAGAGAGAAAAACCAAACTTAAACAGAGGAGGAGGACTCAGGTTTTAGCTCTTGAAAACCTATAACGCTGCGTTAGAGTTGATTCCTTTACACTATCATCTAAATCCTCATTGCCATTCAGGCAACCAAAACATCTCTCCTGGTCAGCCAGGCCAACAATGACCCTAAAGACTTCCTTTTCAGAGGCATGGACCAGGATCGGGTACTGCAGTCCAATAACAACCTCAACGACTTCCTATTAAAAAGTGGTGGACCTGTTTATGGTTCAATTTGCCTGTTTTCTAAGCCCTTTTAGCTTTTGTTGGGCTACCCTAAAAAGCCTGGAGCTCAACACTACTTCAGACATTTTGAATTGAGAAAGCTTTTTGGATGGCAAGCAAAACGTCTTCAAACTTGGAAAACAGGATCCAGTGGTTTGTTTTGAACAATTTTTTAAATAAGGATAAAGGGGAATACAGAACAGTTTTAATGTCTGACAGCAGTTCTAACCATTAGTGACGACTGAGTTATTCCAACAGAAAAAACACGAGTTGAAAAAACTATACGATTAAATTGCACGTATTTTTCAGTTAAGAGCTTTTTGTATTTTTACTTTAACAATAGTGATTGTTTTTTATATAAAATATCTCCAGAGGTAAAAGATATTTAAATCTTCAAATTTCTAAAGCATCCATAAAATACTTTCTGAAATATTTATCTTTAAACGTTGTCCCCCATCTGATCCTCTCTGTTCCCTCTTTACTGCGCTCCCTCATCTATCTACAGAAACAAGCACCCAGACTTCTACAGGAGGTAAGACAATTAAAACCTGATCATTTCTGGCTTTATCTTTAATGGCAAACCTCGATCAGAGTTTTAAACAAACAAATCAAACATAATCTTATGAAATAATAAATGTTCAGTGTCAAAGAGTTCTGAAATATATATTTTTATGTTAAAACAAAGATTAGTTGTTATATTTCAAGCATAAAAGACAAAAAGGAAACAATATACAAAAGTTATCTGATAAAAGCAATACTAATAACCTTTAATTATTGTTTTGTCTCTCAATAACAGTATTAAGTCTCTAATATCAATGTTCTATCAAGATACACAGCAAGAAAATCAATATGTTAAAGCTTCATCTAGAGAAATAAGGTTATTTAACTGGATCTTTTTAAAGCTTTAAATAAAGAAGGACTGTTGCTAAGCTGCCATTAGCTAACTGGAAAAAATGTTATCTGGAATCCTCTGGAACTGATACTTTATCTCCATGGATCTCTGATTCTGCTCCTGCTTGGATTGCACGATACTGAGGAGAGAAAGGGAAACCAGTCTGTCAAAACAACACCTGTACAGTAGAAAAAAAATACATAGACTCTACTAACTGAGCCAGAGTAAACATAAATCCATAAAAAGAGAGAAATGTTGGAAAAACAAAAACAAACCTCTGTCTGCTTTTCTAGTTCCTTCCTCAGAATCTCCACGTCTTCCTCAAGCTCCTCCCTCCACTGTTGCTCTTCCTCTATTCTTGTTCTAAACTGAAGTATCAAGAAGATTTCATGTAATGGTCCAGCAAATAAAATCCTAAACTTGATGCTTGCAGTTATAAGGTTTTACCTCCTGCTTGTATCTCTCTTTCAGTTCAGCCAGCTGAGCCTCCAGCTGCTGGTTCTTCTCTGCAAGAAGCTCAGAATAAATCTTCAAGTCTTGCAGCTAAAAAAATACATAAAATAAAAATAAAACTATTTCAGCATAACATACAAAGCAAGAAAGAACAAACATATCCAAATCACTAGTTTCTTCTTTGAATATGAACCATTAGAGACTGTTTTATTTCCTACTCTTTAAGTGCAGTATCACCAATAGCGCCCTCTAGTGGAAAACATGTTATTTTCAAAGTAGCAAAGCATCAGATGAACATTAAAATGTGCAATTATTATAATTAAAATAAAAACAAATGTTCATTGTTCGTCATTCAAATACTTTGCTAACAGACCTTTAGTTATGCAATATTTATTAATTCACACACATGACATAAATAAGGCGTCCTCTAAATAGAATCTCATAATGTAAACTGATGTGGCTGCTTTGAACTTTTCAGACCAGGGAGATATTTGTTGTTCTGCCTGATGTAGAACTGTATTTAGCTGAATGGTGTCAGCCTGTTTAAATGCATTTTTTTCCTTCTTTTTGTTGAATGTGAGCAGATGTGTGACTGAGTGACATCAGTGAGGAAGGTTTGTGTTTTTGTTCTTGCATTGTATTGCTGATGGTGTCTTTTGATTTTTTAAATAACCTTTTATTTATTTAATAGCATCCAGTTGTTTTTACCTTTTTCTAATGATTTTTTTGTAACAGCTTTGTTAGAGACAACAACGCTATAACCTCTGTCAGGGCATCTCTGTGCTTTATGTGTTCTGTTTGTTGTCCCTGTATTAAATAAATAAACCATAAAACATTTTTAATTGTTAATTTTACTTTCCTAATTCAGTTAGACTTCTTTTATAGGGTTAAATCTTTAAATGTTTGGTTAGTCTATTATTGGTTGTAAATAAAGGAAGAAATACACATCTTCGCTGGTTTAGAATAGTAATACAAAGAAAAGTTTTTACTGAGGAAATCAAAGGTTTAGTCAAAGTGACATCGCCACAACTTTTGACACAATCATATTTCTCTAACCTCATATACATTGTATGTTGTTTAACATAGTGAAATTAAAGTAAGACAAAAACAAGATGCTAAAGACCAGAGAGTGGTGAAGGTTAATGATTAAAAACGGAAGTTTTTTTTTTTTTTTTTATCAATCAAATGCTAAAAAATGAGCAGACATAAGAGGCAAAGTCACCTCTTTCCTGAGATCCCTGCCCTCTGACAACTCAGTCTCCACTTTCAGCTCCTCAGCAACCAGAAACCTTTCAGGCTGCTCCTTATTCTGCTGCAGTTAAACAGAAATGCATGTTGAAGCACAGAAATAACTTTAGTTGTTGTGGTTTTTTCTTCAAAAACTTACAACTTTTACCAGAATTAGAACTATTGTTTTATTCATTATTCATTCAGTATTATGTAGTGTTAGACACCTTTTTTTCTTCCAAAATAAACCAATTTCTTAGTGAGTAGAAAAGAAATGAATAGACTGGAGTTATGCCGTACTGATAATGATAAACAGAGATTTTGAATCTTTATTTCTAGAAGCTGGAATAAATTTAAAGGTTATGCCTGACTGCTGGTTGTTTTCTGGCTCTTTTATTAACACCTGTTGGGAGTTTTCGGTCCTCCTCATTTCCCTGATAGAAATTCTCCTCCATATTAGAAAAAGTCTCCAGCTTGGATTACAGATAATGTAGAAACAAATACAACTAAATGTATAGGATTTTTGCTGAGTGTTTTTTTCTCATGAACCCCAAAAGACTTCCCATATCGAGCAGGGTTATGTTGGGGGGTCTTTATTTTACTGCAAGCTCAGCATGAGGGATTGCTGAAAAACCAATGACTCATCTTTTTTTTTTTCGGACAGTAATATGAACAGAATTTTTTTCTATTTAAGAAGAAATTTAAACATGAGCTTGTAATAAAGAGCTTAACCTTTTGGTTCTCGTTTTCCAGTTCTGTTTTCAGCTCATTTGGACTTTCTGTAGCATCACTGCTCTCCTGCTGTTCATCCTTTAGCTCCTGCTGGGCTTCAGCATCAGACTGAAGTTACAGAAAAAGACATGAGCTGCAAATTAGGGACAAATCCATCCTATATGATGTTTCAGATATCAAGGCTTAAGTCTAAAGCTCTATTCAGTGAATGAAAACAGAACAACATGATTTTACTTGTACCTGCTGCTCATACTTGTTCTTCAGTTGGGTCATTTCTTTCTCCAGCTCCTGATTCTTCTTGATCAAAGATTCTGTTTCACTCTTAGATTCATGTAGCTGCAAAAAAAAAAAACATTCTGATGAATTCCAGCAGCCCTAATGTAATGTTGGACAGTTTTAGAAAAAATCCTTTAAAGAACAAGAAGAAAAACTAGAACCAACCACAGTCTGCTGTTTGTGCTCCTCAGTCGTTTCCTTTAGCCTCTCAATGATCTTCTGCAGTTCATCATCTTTCTGCCTCAGGTTGCTGTCAGCCTCCTGGCGGTTTGCCCAGGGTGAGCAGAAAGAGCAATAATATTGAACTTAAATGCAAAAAACTACATTTGTTATATTGTTTATTTATTAAATAATTTTTATCTTTTTGCCTTAACTGTTTCAGATCACAGTTTTTAAAACTAGACAGACAGTTTAAAAAGGACCTGACTGACAAAATGAAGGGCTAAAAAACCCCCCAAAAAACTCCAACAAAGTGTTGCCCTACCCCCCCCCCAATTTATCAATTTTATCCATTTTGATAAAATTGTTTTTATCAAAATTGTTTGATAAAAACTATTTCATCATCAATTTCATAAAATTGTTTTAATCAATTTTAAAATTGATTAAAAAATATATATATATTTTTATACTTAGGCATTTTGTTCTTTTCATCTCAAGTAAAAAAAACAAACAACATAAATATGATGCCTGGAATTTAATAAGGGATCAGAATAAATACAAAATTAAATTATATTATAAACCTGTATTTATAAAACTGGAGCTCCTCGGAGTAACTCCCTTTTAATCACATTTTAACTTGATGAATTAAGAACAAGAATGCTGAGATACTGGGAATCTCTGTTCTAGGGCTCAAAAAGCAATTCTAAAAACAGAGACTTAAGCAATAAATCAGGCTCTTTTACTGTATACACACCACAATCTTTCAATGCCAAGAGCATATAAGATGCTGTGGTTAGGTAGTCAGGTTGGTCTGAAAAACTGAGATCTGTTCTGGTTGTTGGGTAACTGCCTAAAAGCTGTAAAACCCTGTTCGGCTTACTATGACTTGAAAACTTAAAGTTGCCTCTGTGTTCTCAAATGATTACGAGAAAGGAATGAGAAGTTATATTGTTCCTCTAACCTCCAGATCCCTTCTTGCAGTCTTGAGGTCATTCTCCATCTGTTCTTGAAGAATCTCTTTTTCTTTTATTTGGTCTTCTAGCTAAGAACAACAACAAAAAAAGAAAAATAATTCACATCTTTTTAGGCAGGAGAATTAAAATAATTTCAGACATTAATACAATATTTGTTTTTGCTTATTTCATACTACAAAGTTATAATTTCATCTAGGCTGTATGGTCCTACTTTTAGATAATACTTGAGGAATGTTCTTAAATCTGTTTCTTACAATCTATTGCCATTTACTGCAGCATACAATGGATTCTGATTTTTTATTCCAAAATCTTCTTCTTGTACATCAAAACACTTACTTTTGTAATGTTCAGATCAATTTGAAATTAATAAGCAAGAGATTTGCTTTCAAACTTTAAAAAAAAAAATCATAAAAACATATGCAATAATGTTTTATGGATTGCTGTCGAGTTAATGAGCTAGAAAAATTTAAACCAATCTGACTGGATGATCACATTTAATTGTCTGATACTGAATTATTATACATATCATCGCAAGTCAAAATATAATAAATACAATTTTGAATATATACAGTTGAATGAAAGTGACCAAGAATCGTGGGTAATGTAGTTTCGAAACATGCATGCATGAACAAAGAACTTCACTGCCTTGTTGGCCATGGTACACAGAATGTCACAGAGTGATCAAAAAGTATTTAAAAAAATGAATTAATTTATTTTTTTTCTAAAATATATTATTTATCAATGAACTTAATTGATGTATAAATAGAAGAATTTGATAATAACATCAATGCAAGAGCCCTTTTTTCCCCTCACTCTGGATGGAGGTGATGAGAATTTGCCATTTAAACTGGCTGGAATTTTAGAGGTTTCTGCTTTTCTATCTGTGGGAATGGAGACAAGGAAAGACTTAAGGTGGATGCAGGTGGGGTTGGCACACAGATGCTCAGAGAAAGAAGGTGCAAAATCATACAAGTGGAAAAATATGCCAAAATAGTTTGGTGCCGAAATTGCGACAGATTAATTCAGATGAGAAGGAGAAGAAGGAGAGTATAGATAGTGGGGACTGACATGGTGAATAAAACAGACATATGATGACATGACATTTGAATTGAGAAAGCTTCCTGGAGAGGTGGCGAAATGTTTTCAAATCTTGGAAACCAAGTCCAGTGGATTTTTTGAACTTTAACGGAATGACTATGACCTGGATGACTGAGAATCTTCATCAGCAAAACAGACATAGTGACAGCATAAAATACTGTAATAATATGTTCCAACGAAATACTTAACGCCAACAGGCATTTCCCATAATTCCGATTGGCCACTATGCCACAATTCAACATTTTCTTCATATTTAAAGTTTCATTACATATATGTTGACTCATGACAATATAAAAAAATCATATATATATATATATATATATATATATATATATATATATATGTATATTGATGAACTTTGATATATAAAAAAATATAGGTTTTGGAAATGTTTTGAAATATAATATCAATGCAAATCAAAGCAAATACTTTTATGAGGACGAAAAGTAAAAAAAAAAAAAGCAAGGCAAGAGAGACATTTGTGTCCCTCAAAAAAGAAATATTTTTGCTGATGCACCTTAAATATTGGGATGTGTTTAAATCACTTGCAAAGTAATTGCACTGACACAATTTTGAAAAGGTCAAATTTAAATTTCCCCTCTGTCATTGTAAAAAAAATAGAAAAAATAAATCTGCTGATGTATCTCTGCATAATTCAATTCTTCTGTTTAGGTTTCATCAGTTAAATATGTGACTTACTTTGTGTATCCTCGCCATGGCAACCGCCTGCTTCAGTGAAGGAAAACTCCCCCTGACTCGTTTAATTGTGTCCAAAATCTGTGTTTTTTCTGCCTCTCTCTTCTTCCTCGTCATCGGTGTGTCATTTATAACCAAACAGCTGTTGACCTGAGAAACACTGAGGTGTTTCATCTGGTCCTCCAGCTGAAATAAGGAAGGAGGAGAAAGGTTCATGAAATCATAGAATCATATATATATATATATATATATATATATATATATATATATATATATATATATATATATATATATATATATATATATATATATATATATATATATATAAAAATTGAAAAATAATAGACACATTTGTTTTCCACAAAAAAATAAATGTTTTTGTTGATGCACCTTAAATAGTAGGATTGTAAACAAGTCATTTGCAAAGTAATTGCACTGACACACTTTTGAAAAGAACATGTTTAAAATTCCCCTGTGTCATTGTAAAAAAACAAAATAGAAAAATACATCTGCTGAAGTTTCTCTGCATAATTCGAGCCTTCTGTTTAGGTTTCACTAGTTAAAAGTGTGGCTTACTTTGTGTATCCTCGCCATGGCAACCGCCTGCTTCAGTGAAGGAAAACTCTCCCTGACTCGTTTAATTGTGTCCAAAATCATTGTCTTTGACAACAAAAAGGTAAAAAGGGAATGTTAGTCTGACAAGTTTGCTAAAAAAAAAAACAAAGCTATTTATTAAAGGGACATCATTAGAAAATACAGATAATTAATTGATTAACTGCATCAGTGTAAAGAAATCAAACAAATAACTAAACATAAGTGCAATGTTTACTACTTTAAGCAATAACCAAGCTGTTTTTATGGCAAAAAAGGAATGAATATACAAGATGTGGTTGAAAGATGGTTGATCTAAATGATCTAAAGAAAGAAACCTGACTGAGTCTCCAAAGACAGTAGTTTAAAGTGTTTGGATTTGAACCTGCGTTTTTTCCGCCTCTCTCTTCCTCCTAGTTAGCAGCGGGTCATTGTGGGCCAAACAGCTGTTAACTTGAGAAACACTGAGGGTTTTTATCTGGTCCTCCAGCTGAAATAAGGAAAAGGAGGAGGAAGGTTCATAAAATCATATAATCAATGATGTAGCATTACAGTCACCACTATACTGACAAAATAAACCAAAATAACAATTTCTACACCATGATATCATCAGAAAAAAATCTGCCTGGGAAAATATAACTGTATGAATAAAAATATGATAATTTGGAAGCTATTAAGGTAACCCAATATTAATCATAGACTAATGCATTTCAATTAAATTCAATTTATTTATATATCCCAATTTCACAGCACATGTCATCCCAAGGCACTTTACAGATAATATTCAAACAGATATACGGGTTCTATTTAAGGAAAACAAGCTGATTGCAACGACTCATTGTCTTGACAGTAATCCCTCACACCAAGCATGCCAGCAACAACAGTGGAGATGAAAACTCTCTTTTAATAGGAAGAACACCTGAAAGAACGAAGCAACAATACAAAAGGTAACTATTAACCAGATTCAAAGTGGGCCCTGTCCAGGAAACACACAGCCAGGCAGACAAACTCCGAGCCAGCTCCAATGTCACCGGAGAAACAGGACTACACTGAAAAAATGTTTATATGCATATACAAACAAAGATGTTAATGCCAGCAGCACAGCTGATATTTATCTCCAGGATGGTGGCACAGCCAAACAGGAACAGAGACAATCAGAAAAGAAAGGGGGAGAACATAAAGCTAGAGGCTAAAAACAAATACTGCAGAATGGGTAAGTAGAGATAGAATGAAGCAGGATGATGAAAACTGGTCCTTATGTCCTCCAGTGGTTTAAGGCTATAGCAGCATAACTATACAGATAGCTCAGGATAACTTGAGCCACTCTAAATATAAGCTTTATCATAAAGCTAAGTTTTGGGCCAGGAAACAGGATGTCTCGTAGTTGGTTCCACAGGAAAGTGGACTAATAATTAAAAGATCTGCAGTGGTTAAATAAGTGCTCTGTTAGGAACAATCACATCAGTGATATAAGACAGAGCTTAGCAATTTAGGGCTTTATATGTGAGAAGGAGGATTTTAAATTATATCCTGGATTAAAATATATGTAATATTTATCTTATTCATGGATATTCTCTTTTTAAAAAAACATTCCAATTGGTGGATTATCTAAAACAGTCACTTACTTAACAACAAATAAATCAAACCAATGGGGAGGATAATTCTAAAAGGTAAATATGAAATCTAAGGCTTTCTACCTAAGATAAACATGCCAATCCGTTATGTGAATAAAAAATATGAAGGCTAATGCTTATTGTCTTGAGATGACGTGTTTTGTGATTTGGCGAAATAAAAATAAACTGAATTGAAAAACTAAAGCTGAATTTTTATATAAAACAGTAAGTAAGAAATGAGTATGTCACTAAATACATCCCAGATTAAAAGACAATACCACAACCACCCAGATTACTGAAAAGCTTTATCATTTCAGAGACATTGAGGATTCAAAGATTACAACCACTACTCTAAGGTATGATGTAAAGTTTCCTTGGTTACCAGCTGCTGCTTTAAAAGTTTAAATGAGATAAAGACCAAAATCCAAATGTCATCCCCGATGTAAACTTGGGAGATATTTGTAGTCCAAATAGTGTCACAGAGGAAACTAGAGCAGTGAGTGGAGCAGTCATTCAGTGTTTACAACAAGTGTTAGCTTTGTGTGTCAGTGTGTCTGTATTACTCTGCGTATCCGCTGCATTGCTAGGGTGTTCTTCAGTGACTCAGTAAAGTTCTGCCTCCTCTGAATGGGATTTGTCTTCATCATCTTTTAGAGAAAAACAGAAGCAGATGTTGATCTGAGCCAGACCTAATAGCCAACTCATCATTAGTTCAGTTCTATTGATACAGTAACAGGTGAGGTGATAAATAAATCAAGAAAAGTAAAGGATTCAGTTTAAATGCAGTTGTCTACAATCATGTTCCATTTCAATTAAATTCATCCAGATGAAGTAAAATCATGGAGAAGCCCCCTGACCACAGAGGCATCAACTCTCCTCAACCTAACATGGATTATTGAGCATAGAAAAATGGGTGGCAGCTCATAGAACAATTAGCTTAAAGAAATACTAAAGCACCAGTTAGTATAAATTTACCATATCGATGTCTAAAGTAGAAAACATGCAACCACATATGCTATACACACACATGCAGCATTTTCCTACCTGATTTAAATCCTAAGTCTCTGTCCAAAATAAACACATTTCTCTATTTAAAACATTTCAATGCATTTCAAGGGAGCAGAGAGCACGCCTTTATATAGGGGAGTCAAAACAACCAAGCCTCTGCATGCATATGGCAAAACACATAGAAAGCACCGCAGGGCAGGGCAGCTTTGGAGGGACACTGGTTTGAAATAAATAACTTTATTAATTATGAACAGACAACAAAGAGATCTAAAAAAAAATCTACTTAGAATAAACATCTTTGGACATTAGAAGGTGGAGAGTAACTAATTTCACTGATCCATTCATTTTCTTCCACTCTTTCCTGGGCAGGGGCGTGGAGGCAGCAGTCTAACCAGAGATGCCCAGACTTCCCTATCCACACACACTTCCTCCAGCTGCTCTGGGGGGACCCCGACGTGATACCAGGCCAGCTCAGAGACATAGTGCCTACAGTGTGTACTGAGCCTTCCATGAGGCCTGTAACAACTCCCGAGGGAGGCGACAAGAAGGCATCCGAAACAGATGTCCGAGCCACCTCAGCTAGCTCCCTTCGACTCTACTCTGAGCTCATCCCTGGTAACTGAGCTCCTCACCCGATCTCGAAGGGTGCGTCCAGCCATCCTGTTGAGGAAAGTTATTTCGGCCGCTTGTATTCGCGATCTTGTCCTTTCGGTCTTTACTCAGTGGCAAACCGCTCCAGTGCACGTGGAAGGTCTTGGTTTGATAAGACCAACAGGACAACATCATCTGCAAACAGCAGAGATGAGATCCTGATGTTCCCAAACTGGACACCTTCCGGTCCCTGGGTGCGCCTAATTCTGTCAATAAATATATGGAACAGAACCGGTGACAAAGGACAGCCCTGACAGAGCCCAACATGCACCAGGAACAGGTCTGACTTACTGCCAGCAATGTCAACCAAGCTCCTACTGCGGTCATACAGAGAGTGGACAGCCCTTAACAGAGGGCCCCGGATCCGATACTTCCGGAGCACCCCACACAGGACACCACTAGTGACACAGTCGAAAGCCTTTTTGTTGGGATCTGGAGATGTACCACCTTTCTCCAGCAGGTGTGCTGGAGGGCTCCAGCCCAGGAGACCCACAGCGCACTCTGCTGGAGAAAGGTGGTACATCTCCAGATCCCAACACTTCTTCAGAATCCATAAAACACAAGTGGACTGGTTGGGTGAACTCCCAGGAACGCTCAAGCACCCAATGAAGGGTATAGAGCTGGTCCAGTGTACCACAACAGGGCCAAAAACCGCATTGTTCTTCCTGGATATGAGGTTAGACTATTGGCCGGATCACTCAATACTGCAGAGATGTGTCAGCCAAGACAGACCTACAACGTCCAGAGACTTAAGGTAATAAGGACAGATCTCATCTATTCTGGGCGCCCTGCCCGAGAAGCTTTCTAACTACCTCGGCAACTTCAGTCTGGCTGATGGGCGAGTCTGCCTCTAAGTTCCCAGCCTCTGCCACTGTTATGGAAAAAAATCAAACCAAGGTGGGTGACGCACAACCGGGGCCCCACCCTGGAGCCAGGCCTTGGTTTGGGGGCTGACATGCCCACAAGGACCAGCTGGGCTCAGCCCAAATGGACGATGTGGGCCGCCCACCTGTCGATCCACCAACCGCAAAGGGATCCATAGGGGTCAGGTGCAGAGAGGATTGGGTAGTGGTTGAGGCAGGATGCCTCAGCAGCCCAGTCGGTGCTCGTAGCTTCTGGCTGTAGGGAGGTGGAACGTCACCTCACTGGTGGGGAAGGAGCCTGAGCTTGTGTGGGAGGTGTTTTATATTATATTATATTGTATTATATCATAAAATGCTGTGGTCAGGTTGGCTCTATGGTCTATGATTAATAAGATGCAGAAAGTTATATTATTGCTCTAACCTCCAGATCCCTTCTTGCAGTCTTAAGGCCATTTGCCATCTTTTCTTGAAGATTGTCACTTTCTTTCTTTTGGTCTTCTAGCTAAGAACAGAAAAAAAAAATATAACATAATTTACATCATTTTAGCAAGGAGTATTAAAATTATTTCAGAGATTAATGCAATACTTGTTTTTGCTTGATTACTACCACAAAGTTATAATTGCATCTAAACTGTATGGTCCTCCTCTTAAATGATGCTTGAGGAATGTTCTTAAAACTGTTTGCTGCAATCTATTGCCACCAACCACCTTTAAGAGGGGCATGAAGGAAGCCATGTATGTTAAGAAAGAAAAAACAAACTTAAACAGAAGGGGTTGATTCAGATTTCAGCTTTCAAAAACCTACAATGCAGCAATTGAGTTGATCCCTTTCCACAATTATGACAACCCCTACCCCTTTACAGGGGAGCAGAAGAACTTTACAGGGGAGAGGCCAACCATTCCCTTTAACGACACCCCTTCCAGAGACTTAGACAGGTATGGGGAATTGCAGGCTAAGAAAAGAAGCCAAACGACCGCCATCCCAAAGGGGTGGACCCGTTCGGCTGTTTCAATTTGCCTGTTTTCTAAACAAAAACAAGGCTTTGTTGGGCTACTCTATAAATATATTTATAACCTACTTTATAAACTTAAACTCAATGCTATTCCTGACATTTTGAATTGAGAAAGCTTCCTGGATGGGAAGCAAAATGTCCTCAAACTTGAAAACAAAGTTCAGTGGATTGTTTTTAATTTTTTTGGAACACAGTAAGAGGTGAGCTGAATCCAAAAAGTCCCTTTTAGGGATACCACCAAATCCTTGGTTTGTGTATGCTGGTTTAAAATTGAATTGAAAGAAGAAATGAACCGCAAATTAGGGACACACCCATTAAATTTGATAATTCAGGCATCAAAGCTCAGGACTGAAGCTGTATACAATGAATCAAACTTGTACCTGCTGCTCATACTTGTTCTTCAGTTGGGTCATTTCTTTCTCCAACTCATGATTCTCCTTGATCAAAGATTCTCTTTCACTCTTAGATTCATGTAGCTGCAAAATAAATAAATGAAAAGTCAGGTGGGACAGTTTTTGAAAGACTCCTGTAAAGAACAAGAAGAAAAACAAAGGCCAAACTACAGTCTGCAGCCTGCTGTACACCTCAGTCATTTTCATCAAAATATTTTCCACTTACATTATTCTTCTCAGTCTCTCTGCCTCCTGTATCGCAGACTGGATCATCTGATTGTATTTCTGTCAGAAACAGATTATGAGTCAGTAAATTAACAAAATAACAATGTATTTTTTTAGTATCTGATTTTCAAATAGCTTATGAAGTATATATGTTAATATAACCAACATAAATAAAATCTTGAGAATTATTTTATTTAATATAACATTGTTCAATTACTGTTGAACTTGCTTTTGGTTCTCCTCCATTTATATGCCACGAAGACGGCTGACAGAAGGGACATAAGCGTAGCAGCCAATCCCACAGGAACAGCAAAGGGAGAGATATCCTGGGAAACATGAAGAAATTCTTGCCAGAAATTGCCTGAAAAAATAAAACAATTACACTAAATAAAAGTGAAAAAAAAAACATGTTTCCTCATTTGTCAGATTAAATAAGCCAAAAATGTATTTCTTGTTAAAAACCTCACAATATTCTCTGAAAAAGTGGACTTAAAAAAAATAAAAGTAAAAATTACATTAAAACATATGAGTAATTAAGCCTTGATGCAGAAAATGTGGCTAAAATGTTTTTTATTTATTTATTTATTTATTTGAAAGTAAAAGGCTTTGTTTTTTTTTTTTTAGAAAGTGAACCTGTTAAAAAAATGAATAAATAAAAATAAAAAAAATAAAAACTACTGGTGGGGGGTAAATTAAGGCGCCATTAACACAGTCTACTAAGCAGATGTTATATGCAGGAAACATTACTGTGTTTCTCAACAAAAATAAGGCACATGAAGGAACCTCAAAAAGCTATTCTCAAGTAGAATGTCTAATACTAGCCTAATATTGAATTAGTGAGGTGTTGATCTACTACCTGCTGCTGTCTGACGCATATGCCTCAGCCGACAGCGCCCTCTAGTGTACAATTGAGATATACAACTTATTTTTCGGTTTTGCAACTACAATCCTGTTGTTTGGGTGGTGTTTCTCCCCAAAAGTCCCGAAAGAAAAGGCAAAGGAATCTGAAGGTTCATAATAAAATTTTATTGCTAAGAATTTTTATTTGTAGACACTAAATTATATTATCTGCTATCATACTTCTTTTTATTTTTACTTGCTTTTATTCTCCTTTTATTTTCCTTATTTGTTATCTAATTTATGTAAGACACTTATTATTGTCTTTGTACTGAACTGTGCGATATAAATGAAATTGGCTTGCCTCACCTACATAGGATAAACAAGCTGTAGACCATTTACCCTAATCAGGCAACCACTGTTCCGAGTATGTGTTTATAAATAAAATATTGTTAATTAATTGTAATGAATCAATTTTATTTATCAAGAGTAAATTAAAATAATTTTTTTCCCATACAGTCAGACAACAAACAAGCCACATCTTATCCTCTACAGCCCTCAACCAGAAAAGCATCTTCGCATTTATTTCCAACGCGCTTTGGGAAATGCCACAACCGGAAATGTGTGGGTGAAGAATTGAAGCTCAACATGATGAAAATCATCCTCAAAGGAACAAAGGCATGCTTATACGGAAGGCTGGATTAGTTAAAATGTATTATAAATAGATCATGCCTGTGCAAATTCTCATTCATCCAGGTCATGCAAACCATGAAACAGGCTTCAGTCGGAGCCAACAGTTAAAAAAGTGTTGAAAAGCACTGAGTGTTATTCAGTGTTGCACCTGAAGTAATAACATAGGATAAGATGTAATTACAGCAATACAGCACGTTGCTTAAAAAATACCGGAAAGCTTGATGTTCTCTGTGAATACGTAAATACACAAGAGAGAGAATACATTGTGTAGCACCGCTGTCTTGCAGCAAGAAGGTTCCGTGTTTAATTTCCAGCTCGAGGTCTTTCTTCATGGAGTTTGCATGTTCTCCCTTTGCATGTGTGGGTTCTCTCCCAGGGTACTTTGGCTTCCTCTCGCAATCCAAAAACATGACTGTTAGGTTAATTGGCTTCTCTAGAATGTCCTTAGCTGTGAGTTCAATTCAATACAATAAAATTCAGTGTATTTATATAGCGCCAATTCACAACACATGTCATCTCAAGGCACTTTACAGCTCCCCAGATCATACAGTCAGATTGATTCAAAGTTTTCTATCTATGGAAAACCAGTTGATTGCATCGACTCATTGACTCGAATGGAAGCCCTCACACTAAGGGATGTGAGGCCACTTGTAGCGACAGTGGAGAGGAAAAACTCCCTTTTAACAGGAAGAAACCTCCAACAGAACCAGGCTCAGTGTGAGCGGCCATCTTCTGAGGCCAACTGGGGTTCAAGGAGACAGAAGCATTGTGTGTGTGTGCATGGTTGTCTGTTTCGTTGTGTCTCTGTGTTGCCCTGTGACAGACCAACGACCTGTCCAGGGTGGACCCTGCTTCTCATTCATAGACTGCTCTGGTTAGACTCTGGCCCCACCTCGACAATAACCAGCAACACTTTGGGGGAGTTGTAATAGGATTCACTGGATTACACTTGACATAGTAAGTCATAACTTTTCAGATTAATATTAGCTCTTGCTCAAAATGAACACAGGATAAGTAAAGCTGAACGTTTGCCGCCAAAAGCAGGTAACAAACAAACAGCACAAACAAACCAAATCATCTACAGAATTTTTACCTTGGCTGGGGGGCAGGCTGTGAATGACAGACACCAAGAACTCTTTTAGACTCTTTTCCATCTGTGAACAAAAAAAATACTTTTATTCTCATCATACTGAACCTGGAGGCTTTACATATTCAAACCATGCCTTGTGCAGGAGAGAAAGGTTTTCCATTTGGCAGTGTTGCTCTGTGGAGCTGGATCCAAAGGCAGGCAGAGAGTTGAAAATGAAATAAATAGAAATGAAAGTGTAAATGTACAGTTTGACACGGTCATGGTCAGACTAGGCATGAATAAAACAGAATAAAACAGCGATGAACCAACACAGGTGAGACAGGGAGACTGGCATGTCATAGGTGGACAGATTTAAACAAAATCCTTGATTGCCGTGGCAAGGAGCAGTAAACGTGGATGAAGCTATATGGAAGAAAAAGGAACATCTAACAGAGAATCTGAAATATACATATAATATAGACAAGGGAACAAATAAAATATTCTGAGAAGAGAAACCTTTACCAATAAAAAGTATTAAAAAAATAAATTAGGCGAATCTTAAAAAGAAAAAAAAGAAAGTTTTTCAGGCAAAACAACAAATATCTTATCTGGTTTATTTTCTGAAGTAGTTATAAAAATTATACATTATGATAAAAGTAAAGAGGAAGGGAGAATATCAAATCAGATTATTAATACTTTAAGGCTTAAAATAACATCTACCTATCTATTATTATTATTTAGATTTGCAAATAAAATTTATTAAGCTTTTTATGCTTATTCTTTATTCCTCTTGGGAGGAGCTGCAGTAATTAGAGCAGAAAATCAGACATTATAAAAGGTTTACAGACCAGTCAAAGTGGAACCCAGAGCCAATTAGTTATTCAGTAAATGTATTTCTGTTAACAATTGATTTAAATAAAACTGAATGAATCAGTGAATCACTTTGGTATATTGAGCCAAAACTGATCAGAAATAGTGATGTCACTGATGGTGAGATGAGGCATCATTAGACTTTGAACACCAGTTGAACAACTGTTTAACTGTTTGAACAACAGTTAGTTGTTTCAGGTAGGCATAAATAATTCCCTTAAAGGTCTACTTCAGTGTTTTAGCCGTGTCAGATCTACTATTGTCTACTGTCTACTATTTTCTTTATGGAGTTTTAAAAAAAGACCCGACCTACCTTCAGAATGTGTGCGATCCGTCTCCAGTTCATGACTTTGACCTTTTAGCATTTATACCACAGATGAAAAGGAAGCAAAAGCTCCTTTTGGCAACAAAGGCATCATTTCCTCAGAACTGAAACAGATTCTGTAAAAGAATGTGCTGGAAAAACTCACAAGTTGTTTTGGTCCATCCACATCAGAAAATGAAACTCTTTATTTTTTTCAGAAAAACAGGTTGGACAGTTGTTGGTTGGACACATCTTTGTTATGAGGAAATGCTTTCAGGAGTGCATCATTTACCTTTATGAAAATATTTACCTCTGCAGTGTCACATGATTAAGCAAATCAATCTGACAGAAATGCAGGGTGAAACATCAAACCAGATAATCGTGGTACACAAACACAGTAGCTTCTGTCAGTGAGCCCCAGGGCAGCTGTGGCTACAATGTAGCTAGCCCCCATCAGTGTGTGAGTGAATGGGTGAATGACTGAATGTAGTGTAAAGCACTTTGGTCAAGTCTCCTGACTTGAAAAACCGCTATATAAGTACAGGCCATTTACCATTTTTACCATTTAAAAACCAATCTAAATATTTATCTAATTTATGGCAGGAAACAAGAACAGCAGTTACATAGTTGCCCTACCTCATGTTACGTGGAAGTGTGGACTCATACTTCATTGTTTATGCCATAAATTGCAATTAGAAGCCATGTTACATTTTTGTTAATACTTCATACTCAACTTTGCTCTGGGATTAAAAAAGTTATGTTAATAATGGGAGCTGCATGGTGGCACTGTGGCCTTGCAGTAGGAAAGTCCTGGAAGGTCAAGAAGTGGAGTTTGCATGATCTCCCTGTGCATGCATGGGTCCTCTCAGGCTTCCTCCCACCGTCTAAAAATATGACTGTTAAGGTGATAGGCTTCTCTAAATTGTCTTTACACTACAAAAAAATTAATCTCAGTAAGTCATTTTTTTCTTCAAATAACGAGAAAAGTGAAACACTTTGCTTATGGAACGAGACAATTTAAATTTAAAATAAGAGAAAACAATTGCATTGTCTTATTTCAAGTGCATAATATCTATTTATTTTATTTTATGAGTAAAATACACTTAATTTAGGAGATCTTTTTTAGGATTGTTTTTGCAGTGTAGGTGTGTGTGTATGTGTGTTTGATCATGGTTTTATGGACTTTTCAGGGTGAACCCCACGTTTCCCCCACTGACTACTTTAGATAGGCACCAGCCCCACGGATTAAGCTGATTAAGGTAGTCTGATGTTAATAGTGGTTGTAATTAATCTGTTTAAACCTGCCTGTTTGTGTGGCCTGCTGTCTTGGAACGAGTCCAACCAACCCGATGCAAGGCATCTTGCTGTATTTTCTCTTTAGAACAAGTCCATCATCATTCTTTTATCTTCAGATTAAATAGTTTTCTTTTCAAGAGAAAAACAGATAATATCATCCTTATCTGTAGTATCATCACTCTTCCAAAGTAAGTCAACAGAAGGAAACAAAAAGCTGCCCTAACTTCATTATACAAGCATGATATCATCCTTACCACCAGGAAAACAAGGAACAGACGGTTCTCTTTAATTCAGCTGACTTGGCCTGAAAAGAAGACATGGAGAACAGTGAGACTTGAAGTATTACACCCCATAATTACTTTGCCCACTTAGATGAAATAAACAAAAGAACTTGTTGTTCATGAGATGTGTATGTACGGTAAGAGTCATGTTCTGGCCAAAGTGCGGGTCCTCTTCTTGAAGAAATGAGACGTTACACCTTTCAGACACAGACTTTTTTGGCACCTTTACATTTTTGACAATGCAATGTGTGTTGAAGCTTCAGATACAGTAAAAATTCATGTAACTCCTTAACTATGCTGCTTTTTTAGCAACGTTAGAGTGTGTTAAATGAAATTGCCTGTTGTGGTCATTTTAAGGCATCAGGAATCAGTCAATCACTTTGATATATTGAGCCAAAGCTCATATGAAAGTTTACATATACGTATAAGTTATGGGGAGACGAGGCCTCATGAGACTTTGAACACTTGAGTCTGTTGTTTCAGCAAATAATTTCTTTGTTGGTGCTTCATGTGCTCATAACACCACCTGCTGGCTGAGTGATAGAAATATGAGCTGTGATTTTTATCTTTTAGGACCCTTAGAAATTATCATTTATAAGTAGTAACTATTATTTATCTTACGATTATCATGTGTGTATGTTAAAATATTTCTTAACTTGTACATTTTATAAGAAAATATCAGAAAAGTATGAAAAAGACTACATGTTTTTCTGTCACTTTATTGAAATGGCTAAGGTTTAAACAAACAGACAGGGACCATGCTGCTGGAACTTGGAAGAGGGCACTAGATAGATGTGCTTATGCAACTTGGACAATGATATAACAGCGGTGATTGCCATCTGTTTGTGAGTACCCTCAGACCTACAGTAACGCCTTCACTTTTTCATCCCTGGTTGAGAGGAATAGTCTGACATGCTTGTGCAACTCACACCTGCCGGTGATTTTATTCAGAAAATCAGCTTTTTCTGAAGTTTTTTACACTCCCTCCACATGCTTGGTAAACACCAGTTCACAGGACACTGAACGATGACAACTGAGAGCCTCTGATGGATCATTGATTTATGAGTGCTGCATTACATTCATTTAGATCTCAGAGCTGCAAGGCCACAACATGTCTGAGTAAGTGAAATTGTTTGGGACAAGAAATACTATTCCCATAACAAGTCAGGTTCTTTCTAAAGGTTTATTCATAACATGTTGCTATTTAACCAACATTTCTGTACACTGTAAAAACGAAACCAGGTGCTGGTGCCTATCTCCAGCAGTCAATGGACAAAAGACAACATGTCATCTATAAATACATTAAGAAACACTGAAAGTTACAGTTCTTCAAAGGAAAATCTGTTAGATTTATCCCAATATTAATTATTGTGGGAAAACATCTATTTCCCATTAGTTTTCAATTTAATTGAATTGGCGCTATATAAATAAATTGAATTGAATAGAATTAGTTCCCATTGATTTATGAGTGCTGCATTACATTCATTTAGATCTCAGAGCTGCAAGGCCACAACATGTCTGAGTAAGTGAAATTGTTTGGGACAAGAAATACTATTCCCATAACAAGTCAGGTTCTTTCTAAAGGTTTATTCATAACATGTTGCTATTTAACCAACATTTCTGTAGTTTGTTTTGACTCGACAACTATCACAGCTCTTCCCCTACTGTAAGTAAGTGAGACAAACTGTCTTGTTTAAAACAGGACAGAACATAATACTGTGATGGGCTGTTATAGGTGTCTCTTTTTACTTTGCAAAGTAAAATAAAGTGCAGACTGGTTGAAATCCATTTATCTCCACTAATTTAACTGCAATGTATATTTGAATACCATTTATTTCACACAACATAACATTCATTAAATAACACTGAACTAATATTCATTGTTTCAGCATATTTAATTTAAGACTTTAAGGAGTCATCAAATGAATTATTTATGGTTTTGTTTGTTTTTCTTCTTAATTCAATTTATTTGTACTACCTACAACATGAATGTTTTGGAGAACTACTGATTGAGATTTGCAGGATTTGAGGTAGGTAGAAATAAGCTAAATTTGTATGAATTGTGTTACCAAATTTCTGTATGAAAAAGAGATAGGTGCAAATATGTTTTTTGCTTCCAGCTACTCCTTTAAGGCCTCACTGGAAATATTTTGTTGGCTATTTATTAAACGTTCTAATAATAAACGTTGCTCAAAATCATATAGGGCTTACTGTAGCTTCTAACACAAAATGTATGGATATTTTATAATCGAAGTCAAGGGACTTTCTTCTGATGTAACTTGTTTTTGGCCAGGCAATCTATATTAATAATACTTTCTAAAATTCTTTTCCATTTCATTAATTTTATCTTTATATTCCTGTCCATTACCAACCACATTGCTCTTATTCCTCTGTAATTATCATACATTAACCCCAGATGTTCCTGGTCTTCCCTCTGTCTTCAACCACATATATGTTTTCCAACAATCCCTCTATGAAACTCAGACATTTTCACAATATTTTTTTATTTTCTCAGTATTATGTTTTGCCTGATCAGTACAATAGATGACATAGGCAATAAATGATAAATAAATATTTTTCTGCTGGCATTATAATGTTGTACTCTGTCCTTTCTTTTGCTGTGGGACTACTCACTCTTTTCCATATCTTTTGTCGTTTTGGTTTTTATACTTTGACTGCTACATTCACCGATCTGTTTACATTAATTAATACATTGTGTTATTTTCATTTGAGTTTAGATTTACCTTTTTTTTTCAAACAAGCAAAAAATTTGTGCCTTTTGCAGTACAAAACAACAGAGCTGAAAAGGTATATTTCCTTTTGTATAATGACTATCTTTGCTTGTAAATTTTTATTAACTCATCCCCACTGTGTACATTTTAAATAAAACCAAGTCATGAAACATAATTTACCACACATGCTATACAGGTTTGGAGAGCATAAGTGCAAACATATTCTATAGCTATTTCTTGGTAAAGCCTTTTTTTCTTAAAGTTTGATGATGCAAATCAAGGTTAACATACGATAACATACATACCATTAAAGTCATCAGATCTTCCTGTGAATAGAATTTTTATTTCCACAGAATTCAATTAGATATCACTCAGACTGTTGGAATTAGTTTTGGCTTTATTATAGGGCATTAATTTTTACTGAAGAACTGCAATACAAACATGAACCTTTTTTATCTTTTATTTATGTATGCAGTAGGAACAAAACATCAGACAAAGTATTCCCCTTGTATTTGGTTTGCACAACAAAAGCTCTCTTTCCTCAGATGTTTGGGTTGACAATTTTGCCAATAAAAAGCATCTCATTTGTGTTTCTCTCAATGATGATCGCCATGAAAGGACGGTTGAACTTCAACTCTGGGATGATGCGTAAGGACAGAAGTGTGATGCCAATACCAGTAACTGCTGCAGCAGTTGCTCCAGTCTCATCTACATCCAGCGTGGCTTTGTGCACAACCTTTACAGTGCAATTAAAGTAGAGTGAGTTGATTGTGTCGAGAAAACAAAAGCAATGACACTTCCTTCATATGTTTCTGTCTTACCTCTGAGACAGCCAGATTCTGTCCCTCTGCAATGCCGCTCAGATTAGCCCGATCCCCAAACATGTCTGTCATTCCCATCCCAGTCAACACATCATTCAGCTTGTAGGAAGTCTTGATGGAGAACTTGGGAACAAATATGTTGTATTTCCTAAAAAATAAATAATAGTTTTTTTTCCAACTTTTATTGTCATTTCACTGTCACAAGTATGGTGCAAAGACATGAACTCTCTGCATTTAACCCATCCCCTTGAGGAGTATTGTGCAGCGCCCGGTGAGCTGGGTGGGTTAAGGGTCTTTGCTCAGAGACATATACCCCATTTACACTACCCTTGAAAAACCGTGCCGAGACTGGTCCGAGCTCAGTAACTGAGATAACTTATCGTGTGTAAATGGAAAGCAAACTGAACTGAACCGAGCTAGACACAACCGGACCAAGATAACTGCAGACCAGTTCCAGAGGTGGGCTCAGCTCGGTTTTTCCCTGGTTCGGTTCTCTGATAACAAGAGCTCATGAGCAGAACGTGTCATCTCCGTCTGGCTGCACATCCCGATTCACACTCCATTCCAGTACTTGGCGGTAATTCCCCTCCAGAAACAGAAGAAAAAGAACAACTTCTTCTTCAACTATAAACGACAATCGAAATCTTCTCCACACAACATTTTAAATAATGGCATTTTAAATAATAACACCGAAGTACAGCAATAATAATCAAGCATAATTTTCTGAATGTGACGGGTGCCGCCATTTTGATTTGCTTGATTCCCTCCTTCTTCGTCTTCTTCTTCTTGTTTTTGTTTTTTATGGCGGTTGGCAAACAACTTTTGGTGCATTACCACCACCAACTGCTTGATTTCCTCCTTCAATACTGGCAGTAATACCGCAGATAGTGACTAGGAGGTGAGGAGTTGAGGAACCAAGATAGCGTGATGTGTAAACGGTCGTCAGAACCGAGCTCGGCCTGGTTAACTGATCCGAGCTCGGACTGGTCTCGGCATGGATCGGTTTTTCAAGGGTAGTGTAAATGGGGTAAGAGTGGCAGTCTGTGGGAGTTGGGGCTGGAAGTCAGAACCTCAGGATCCCAAGCTCTATGCCCTATTGTTTTATAGTTTTGCTGCTGTAAAACACCAGAATTTCCCCATTGTGGGACAATAAAGGGATTTTCTATTCTATTCAATATTTATTCTAACCACTAGGCTGTCACTCCTGTGCAAAAAAAATACAACAACCTTCAGCACTGTTCAAGAAAGACAAAAAAATCAGTTCACCTTGTTTTCATCCACTTCAACCACTTATTGACATGCGCAGGGCAGATCTTGTTCTCCAGCAATGTCATATTGTCAGGTAAGAGCAGCAGCATGGAGTAGGAGTTGTTGAAGGGCAGGTGGAGAACTGATGTGTGGATTTCCTGGTCGATATAAGTACTAACATCTTCTTCCATTCTCATCATCTGTACCCTAACCTGGAATGTGGGAGATGAACAGCTTTGTAGATGTATTAATAAAAACAGAATGAACAAACAGAACATCGGCATGTTCAACTGTGTGACTGAACCTTTTTGTTTTCTTCCACATTGAAATCATCTTCTCTGGTATCTCGAGGATCAAATGGAGTTTTCCAATTTCCTGTGAGAGCAGAAAGAGGAGATCTTATGAATTACTAAAAGCATAACTCAATGAAAGCGAGAGGTCAGGGAACTCATAGGCTGAGACCTTTTACCTTTGTAGTAGATGTAGCTGAGAAGGTACATAACTGTGTTTGGATCCAGGCTTTCTACCAGCTTGTCTATCTTCCCGTTAGTCTTATCAGATACATACTGATTGATGGTATTGGCGGCCTCTGTAGAATTGAGAAAGTCAACACTGAAGCCCTCTGCAGAATAGGACTGCTTCAGGACATCCAGAAAGTCCGGCTTTGGCTTGAAGAGTTTGTCCACAAACACAGCCGAGCCTTTGGTGAGGTCATTATGAGCTGCTGTGTTTGCAAGGAGCGTACGGAAGGCCTGGTCTACATCTGTCTGAGCAAGCTGGGAGCTGCTGTAGCCCAGAGCACTGAATAGCTGCTGGTGGGTCTCCCCCCGCGCCCCCACAGAGAGAGCAGCTAAGGCAGCAGAGATGCTAGCTGGAGAGAAGAAGATGTTTTTGCCTTGAGAGTCAGAATGATCTGATAACTTCTTGTACAGACGGAAGGCAAAGTCCTTGTTTGCTGAGGTCACCAGAGAGAGGTTGTTGTCACTGTCGTCTGCAGCGTTGTCTTGTGCTTCCACAGCGTGTCCGATGTGATGATCGCTCCTTCCTACGCAGACCGCTGCTGATAAAACCCAGAGAACCCCGAGTGCACGCATCATGAACTGAAACAAAGGGTCAAAAGTGATGTTTGCTTTGATTACACAATATTAACTGATTCACAAAAGCATTGTGAAATCTATAAACCTCTTCATCTGGTTATACAGGCTCTAAATGTATTTGTTTTTAGTTTTTTCTTTTAGTTTTTCTCTTGCCAGTTGTTTTTGAAGTATTTCAAGAGAACAATTTTGATTAAATCAAACATCAAGGACAACTAATCTTGATTGAAGTAAATCTCATGTAATATAAACTAATCTTGATTAAAGTAAATCTCATGTAATATAAACTAATCTTGATTAAAGTAAATCTCATGTAATATAAACAAAAAACTTTAAAATTCAGAGTCTTCATAATTAATACCCCCCATTACATATTATGAGATGAACAAATAAAAATACAGAACAAAAAGTGCTTAGTTTTTCTGTCTTCATTGCCATCCTTTTAAAAGTTTGATTTTGATATTTTAAAACAGCAACACACATCTCAACTTATACTTTAAACATTAACACAGTTTTCTATAGTCTTTAAAGCACTTACCCTTTTCTTGCTGCAGCTCAGTACCACAGACTGGCCGGACAAAGAGACTGTTTATATCATCAGTCAGATGAACTTTGATTTTGTTTATTTTCTGTCCAAACCGTATTTGCTCTACATTTGAGCACAGGATAAGTCGCTAACCAATCATCAAGGCTTGCAAATAATTCTCAGAAAAGCTAAAAAAAAGTGAACAACTAAATATTACACATTATTCTTTCACTGAGCAATCAAAAAAATCTCTAAATGTTCATTTAAATCCCCTCATTACTGTTTCAAGGATTATTCAGTAAATATGAATCTTTAAAACCCGTTTTTTTTATTTATGAACAACTGACGACATGCTATAAAATTATCAAATAAAGAGGGAAAGGTTTTTTTTTTTTAATTTGTTTGTTTGTTGTTGTTTTTTTGTCCACCAGCAAGCACCACAACTAAACAAAGCAAATGTAGTTTAAGGGCCACATTGATCAAATTATTTGCTCATTTATTTCCTGTTAAGCAAATAGCAAAGAAGAAAAGCATCATCCAGCATTATTGTTGCGACTATCAGCTGCTTGAAATTAGGTTAGTATTCAAAGGCCAACCAGTCTGACTGATGAAAAATAAAAAATAAAAACAAGCCAGTTTCAGACAAATCAATTCATCTTAAGATAGTGTCCGCTCTGAGGTCTAAAAAATGCAATAAAAAGACTAGATTTCTTCTAATTATCTCTATATTTATGCTGCGATATGTTAAGGCTGCTGGAGGACATAGGAACCATTTTTTGTCCTGCTTCATTCCATCTCTGTTCTTATATCCTGGAGTATTAAGTTCCACTCATAACTTTATGCTTTATCCGCTTTCGCCTGTCATAGTGGCTCTGGTCCGCCCCTGTTTGGCTGTGACACCATCCTGGATTAAATTATTAGCTGTGCTGCTTTCTGTGAGTAACTGTCTGTGCTGTCTTTCATCCTTGACCGAATACCAAAACGGAGACAATTCAACCAGATTATATAGTCAGATTGGTTTAAAGTTTTCTATCTAAGGAAAACCAGCTGATTGCATCAACTCATTGACTTGAAAACAATCCCTCACACCAAGCATGCTTGTTGCGAGAGTGGAGAGGAAAACTCTCTCAGGAAGAAACCTCCACCAGAACCAGGCTCAGTGTGAGCTGCCATCTGCCGAGGCCGACTGGGGTTCAAGGAGACAGAAGCAGAGATACAGAAAGAAGCAGAGAAAAAAAAAAATAACTGTCAATCAGCTCCACAGGCGGCCTTAACCCAGAAAAACACAACAAGGCAGATTAGCTCCAAGTCAGCTCCAATGTCAAAGTATGAAAGAGAGAACATGCAGGACTACACTGAAAAACCGGCCGAGCTCCTACATCTATATACAAAGGTGTTGGTGGCAGCAGCACAGCTTATATTTCTCTCCGTTATGGTGCCACAGCCAAACAGGAACAGACCAGATGAAGCTACTGTGATGAGAAAAACAGAGAGCATAAAGTTAGAGATTGAACAAACAAACACTTAAGACTGGGAGAATAGCAGAATGATGAAAAGGGGTCCCTACGTCCTCCAGCAGTCTAAGCCTATAGCAGCATAACTATAGAGATAGCTCAGGATAACTTGAGCCACTCTAACTCTAAACTATGTGAAAAAAAACACAAAAAAATGTTTTAAGCCTTGCCTTAAAGTAGACTGGATTTTTGCCTCGTGGCCTAAAAATAGTAGTTGCTTCCACTGGAAAAAGCCTGACAGCTTAAAGATCTGATACTCTTCCTGCTTTTAGAAATTTTAGAAAGCACTAGTAAACCTGCAGATTGAGAACAAAGTGCTCTGTTGGGAACATAGGGAATCACCAGATCCCCAATCATGGCCAACCAAAAAAACGCTGCTACACAGTTTCTCAATCAACCTCCTCTACCTGTTGCGTCAGTCCCGGCTGCTCCTCCTTCTCCTGCTGCTGTATCACCTTTGCCGCCTGCCTCCTGCAAACATAGACACCTTCCATTACTGGAAGAATGCCACATCCTCCCCCACTGGTCAGCCTGAGGTCAACGTAGCCTCTCCAGTAAAGGACGGTATCTAAATTCCTCTCGTGCCTCACCCTCCAGATGATCATTCAAGTAAAAAGCATGATCAACAGGTGATAAGTGATAATCCCTGACACAGGCCTCCTCCGTCTCCATCCACTTTACCCTATTCCTGATCTTCCCCTGAACATTGGACATTTCCTGTTCCGAGGCATGAACACCAACCTTTCTGACACAGGGGGATCCGGGGCAGGCAGAGCACTCTGAGATCTGCTTCAAATAGAAGGGCCAGTAGAAGTACCTGAGGCAGAGCATGACTGTCACTGCATGAAAAGTGAGATTTTCGTCCCCGTAAACCCCCGTAAACTCCCGCAGATCTGCCTGATTTTCGTCAGTTTCCGACAATTTGCAACCCGTGCTTGTCCGAGTTTGTCGTGCCACAAATTGTTGAAAACGTACCATGACGTATGTGGAGAGCGATCAGCTGTACTAATGGCCCTAATTAGCATATGAATGCAGCAAACCCGCGCGGCTGGCCAAGTCTGGCTTGAATAACCTACTCAGTATTGGCTGAAACCACTATTCTCAAACAAATGAAATCGCTCGTGATTGGCAGCAAAACCACACGTGGCCACGCCAGGCTTTAATTTTCTTACTGAGTATTGGACGGAACCACTTCTTTTTAAACAAGTAAAGTCGCTCGTGATTGGTTGGCATATATATATATTTACATATAAATTTACATATATATATTTATTCATATATATATATATATATATATATATATATATATATATATATATATATATATATATATATTTATTCATTCATATATTTATTCATTCATATGGTGTGTATTTATGTTATCCTACACTACTACACAATTATTATGCTACCATCAAGGACATGAATGAATTTATACAGGAAATGAAGATTTGCCGGGAAGCTGTTTATGCAAAGAAAGAGCTTTATTAAAACACACACAACTATATACAACGCGTATCCAAACACATGCGTTTCTAAAAATTAAAACTCCGTGAACGGTCCGTTTGCTTCCTCGGGGTTGGAGGTAACTGGCAGCATTCCCTCCGAGGCAGGTCCGATGTGCAGACGCCTAGTGTGCGTGGCCCTGTACTTCGGCATCGCTTCTAACCGGGACTGCAGCTTAACACAGAGTTCAGAGGGATCCGGCCTACGAAATGGCGGCGACCGTACAATCCATCCAGAGACACCGCCGAGGAAGGCGGACTTCCAGAGTTCCACTTCCTCATCTGCTAGCACACTCTGCCTCGCTTTCAGCAGCTGAAAAAAAACAAAAAAACAATGAATCAGCGCACTGCGTATGGACACAACACATCTATTAATGCACCTGAAAAATAGTCACCAAATAAAGTCTTACCCTCTGTCTTCTGGCCCGACTCCGAGCAGATAGCCTCCGCACGCAGCGTGTGGCTGGCAGCGTATATCTGAAGCTCCTGCGTACCGTCTGAAAATACGTCTTACAGGCAGCTGGAAAACAATTAAATGAGAGTGGTATGAATAAAAAATCAAACGCAAGTCACAGTAACAAGGAAGGAGAAAACATTAAAACAAGTCACTTACACACAATGTCGTCTTTATCAACATCGTGCAAATCTGGACTTGCCGAGATGGGAGGTCTGTGAAAACAAAATGTAAAGCTATGATTGGTATCCATTGCCTTTTACCGCAGAATGAAAGCATATTCTTTAAATCTTACCCTTGCTCCGGTTCATAGCGCCTGCAATTAGTCTCCGAGTTGTTAAGACGGCGTACTGCTTCCTGTGAATCACAAAAAATACACTTTAATAAAGCTTGTTCTTGCAAGGCTACTATTAGCCGCTATTAGCCGTAGCTCAGGCTAGGCCGCTTTTAGCTTAGCAGGCAGTAATCGAACATATATTTACCGCTAGCATCTCTTCTTTGAGTTCGTCTTGTTCGATGCAGAGTCGCCATCGCGTCCAAGAGGAGTTTTACCCCGAAATCCAGAAGCTCCAGACCGCTGCACAAAGCAAAGCATACATCCTCCACTGTGGATCCAGACCCCGCCGCTCTGAGTTTCTTGGAGATCGTAGGGAGCATGCGCGAGATGAACCAGAGTTTCCGCGGATCAATAAAAATAATTAAAAAATCATTCTTTTTTTTTTTTTTTTAATCAAGGCCTTCATTGGCACTAAAATTATTTAAATATGTTTATCGAAGTATTTATAATTCTTTAATAAAAAATGCTTATAAAAACAATTTAAAATCATTTCAAATAGCATTAAAATAGCATTAAATTAGAGTCACTCATTCCTGTATGAACCCTGTGAGCGCTTAATTTAATATGACATATTAAAAAAATCCCACCATCATCCAGCATATGTTCACTTTCTGCCCAAATATATATATATTTTTTTGTAGATTTTTGTAACGGGGATAAAGATAATTCAAAACTGCTTTTTTTGAATGAACTTGTTCACTACTTCCAAACTCAGCATCTCTTTTCATTCCTGTAATAAGAACTTTCTTTTGAATGGATTTGATTAAAGTTTAAGTCCCTCGGTATAAAATAAATATTTTGATGGAGATGAGAAATCTGCTTCCTCGTTGGTGAATAACCAATAGTTTGGATCCAATCATTTAAATAAACTGTGTTAGTTTTTTTTTATATATATATATATATATAAGAATTGTGCTATAATTTCTAGTCACCGATCTGTTGCTGCTATATTTTATTTTGACGAACCGGAATTTGTCAATGTTCTTTTTCCTGTTTGGTGCGATTGCAATTGCGGATCTTGACCTGGCCGGACCTTATGACCACAGTGTACCAATCTTCTCATGGCTACTTCCAACAGGATAATGCACCATGTTATAAAGTAAATCATCTCAGACTCATTTCTTGAAACTTTTCCACTTAAGTAATTGTGAATTGAGCATATTGACAGACAACATTTTTTTTTTTATCTTAAATGCAATTTTTTTTTTTTATAATTACTGCTCTAAATGTATTGCTCTGTCAGCTAAAGATCTGTTTTGGTCTCTATACTTTAATTAAATAAATCAATTCAAGCTAAAATGTAAGAGGCTATACTGAGCCTGATCTCTTTGTATCAGAGAATTTCTTACCCAGAAAGATGTCACTTGGGGTAAAACCCCCCCTGCAACCCTGGTTTGCATTTGTATAGCTCACAGCATGTTCATTTACATGTTAAATCCTCCCCTAGAATTATATGGGGGGGAGGCATGGGGGGAACACTGCCTAAGAGAGTCAACGTCAATTTCTGACAATTTACGGGAGTTTTTGGCGAAGCCTGCAAATTGTCGTAAACTGCCGCTAACCTGAAGTTCCACGACAATGTACAGTGCCGCATATTGACGAAAATCCCACTTTTCATGCAGTGTGTCCCTGTCGTATTTGTTTATTATCTTCTTTCAATTGGGCAATAAAGTACCACATTTCTTGGATCCCCTCCTCCTCAACCTGGATCCTTTGTGATTAGATGGGCTTGTTGCTGTTTTGCCTGTACAAACACACACACACACACATTTTTTTTCCAAAACAAACAAAATACGACACTACACAAACATAAAAAACAGAAAACAAACAAAAACTGAAGAATCAACTCTTTTCCCCAACAGATATCCTACCAGCAACACCGATTGTGGCAACCTCAAACAGCTTTGATCTTTTTAAAACAGAGGTGTCCCTAAATAGTGTTTCGAGCTTACCCTCATCACACCATGTTTCGAGCTGCTCTGAAATTTGAATAATCTGAATAATCAACCATTTACATTATATATTTATATCTTAGTATCAGAAACAGGCAAGGGAAGATGTTCTATAAAAAAATGACATAATTTAGGGCAAATGGGGGGACATCATTGATTTTCAAAGAAATACAAACTTTACCAGGACACTGGTAAAATAGATGTTCAAGAGTTTCACTTTTATTATTACAAAAGGAACATTGATCTGCCTCAAAAACATTTTTTTTTTTTTTATAATTCTGCCACAGGATACATTTTCTTAAAACTTTAAAATGTGTTTCTTTGACTTTAGAATAGGCCATTTGACAAATTTTGAGAATGCTTTATCAACTGTATCTGAACAAACAGGATTTCCAAGTAAACCCATCACAATCATGAAATTTTCTGCCTTTCAAAAAACTGCTAATAAATTTATTATTGCATTTTTTTATACAGATTGCATTGTAAAATAAACCAGCTGGACAATATTGGTTGTGAATTTACACAGTTATACTCTTTTAGAGAACAATTTACATCATTAAAAATATCTGAATGATTTAAAATATCACTGCTATCATCCAATAAATCGGCAAAATAAATAATGTCTTTGCAAAACCATCCATTTTTAAAGACAGATTTACAATTTAGTATTACTCTATTGTCCCATAGGGTTGAGCTATGGGGAGAAAAGCTGCGGGTGAAAATCTTTTTCCAATATTGCAAAATCTGTGCAAAGTGGAACATGAACAGCTTAATTGGAATCCTGCTTACCTCAAAATCACATTTTGGAATAAAGTCTTATGCCTCACAATTTATCAAACAGGGATCTTGGACTGTGATGCCACATAGAATTTGGATGCCGAATATAAGATTTTATCCAGTTAATTTGGATTGTGCCAACCTTAGATTCAATATCTTTATCATATTCTTTCACCAACTGAGATTTTTTTATATAATGTGTTTTATTCCTCCATAAAAATTGGAGGCATATTGTGTTTGCTTTACTCGTGTTTTTAGAGAAAATAAACAAGGAGTGGTAGGGATAGATCAGTTTGTTGTTAACAAGTGACTAAGGGCTTTTTTCATATCCAAAATACAATTTGAAATATTTGTATCTTCTCTTCTAATTAAGTTTTGTTTATATTGTCAGCCCTAGGTATTTTACTTCAGTAACAGCTTTAATTGGATCAGGACTTGTATGGATAGGGAGTAGTTCCCTTTTTATAATATTAAGAGATAAACCAGACGCTACAGAGTAGATGGAAATAGTACTGAGAGCTTTATCTATTATTGATTTATCTTTTAGAAAGATGCAGGTACTTTTAACAACAGTCAATGGGCAAACATTTTTGTGCCCTAGGATCGAAATACATCATCAATCGACGAAAAATGTAATGACTTTACTAGTCATTAAAGATTAAATATGTATCTTGCACATCTAAGAAAAATATATCAATAATTGTTTTAATATTTTAAATGATAGTTATAAAATGTAATTCTAAAAAATATATATTTTTGTGTATCTCTGTGTATATTCTTTGGGTGGGTGGGGCGGTGCCCTGGCGCCCTCTATTGGCCAGCCGCAACTGCTTAGACATTAATCAGCAAGATCAGAACAACTTAATTTGGAGGACTTAGCATTGTTTTAAAAAAACAGTTGCTTAATGTCTCAGCTCACTGACAACTTCATCGTAGGTAGCCATCTCTGTTGGGACTGTGGCCGGTGGCTGCTAACCAACCAATGGGGAGAAGTCAAGCTCCTTAAGACACACCCCTCCTCATTTGCATAATGAGCCAGAAATACATACAGAAATGTCAATACGACAGGCAGAAATAAAAAGCGTTGAAGATTATAACGGACAATAAATAAATAAGAATTATTACAAAGACAAATAAACAAAGAAGCTAATTAAAATATATATATATACATATATATATATATATATATATATATATATATATATATATATATATATATATATATATATATATATATATATATATATATATATATAGTCTCATATACGAGTGAGGGAAGAATGGAGCGGGAGCTCGATAGACGGATCGGTGCGGCTGCTGCAATAATGCGGAAGCTGCACCGGTCTGTCGTGGTGAAGAGAGAGCTGAGCGAAAAGGCAAAGCCCTCAATTTACCGTTCGGTCTACGTTCCTACCCTCACCTATGGTCATGAAATCTTGATCATGACCGAAAGAACGAGATCCCGGATACAAGCGGCTGAAATGAGCTTCCTCCGGAGGGTGGCTGGGCTCTCCCTTAGAGATAGGGTGAGGAGCTCGGTCATTCGGGAGAGGCTCAGTGTAGAGCCAGTTCTCCTCCACATCGAGAGGAGTCAGTTGAGGTGGCTCGGACATCTTCTTTGGATGCCCCCTGGACGCCTCCCTCGGGAGGTGTTCCAGGCACGTCCCACTGGGAGGAGGCCCAGGGGACGACCCAGGACACGCTGGAGAGACTACGTGTCTCGGCTGGCCTGGGAGCGCCTAGGGCTTCCCCCAGCAGAGCTGGAGGAGGTGTCCGCGGAGAGGGAAGTCTGGGAGTCTCTGCTTAGTCTGCTGCCCCCGCAACACGGTTCCGGATAAAGCGGGAGACGACGAGTACGAGTACGACGAGTACGAGTCTCATATATATATATATATATATATATATATATATATATATAGTCTCACTGTATAATATAATTTCTACGTACATTTATTAGTTTTTTGTATTTTTTGGGAGCAACTAATTGTATGCTTATTATTCTTGGAGCATTTATTTTTTTCTGTATTTATTTTTAATTATGGCAGGATTGGTCCTCCATAATTTCAAGGCTGGAAGTGAAAAAACTTGTTTTGTTAGACTCTTCTTTTAAGCCAGTCAAACTGGCTTAGAAATATTTCAGTATTTATTTTATAATTATCTATAGCAAATTAAAAACCACGGCTATGTAACAGCCCTCTGTCACAACCTTCCTCTAATTCTGCAAAACTTCCCATGCATAAACATATTTTTATCTGGATTTCTACTCTCTGGTTTATTTGACTCATCTACTGGTTGTCCATCAGCCAATCACCGTTTGATATTTCTTAAAATGAACACATGAACAGCCAATAGGAGTCAGAGTTCTGCCACAGAGGACACGCCTCCTTTTCTGTCTCACTCAGCAGGTATTGAAATCTACCGTCTCGTTCAACATCTGCTTTTCAACGTTCGTTTTTACAGCAGACTTGAATAGAATCTCCTGTTATTGGTCTCCTCCTGCTGATCCAGACCGGTAGGTGATTAAAACGTGTCTGTGATCCTTTTTCCTTACCTGCTTCTAGATGTTATGTTTTGTTTTGCCTCAGGTAACACAGGCTGCTCTGGGCAGAAGCCACGCCTCTTTGGTGTGTAATCACCTTGGCTAAAACCATTACCTCATTACGACATGAGCCTATTCAGACTGTTAAGATGTTTTAAGAGGTGCGGGCTTGATCTTGTTATAAATGGATTGTTAAATCTGGTACATTGTTCTGACAAAGATCCACTTCACAGACTTTTTGGAGTAGATGGATGAGCGCAAGGATTTAAATCTATGCACACACAGACAAAAAAATAATGTAACCAAACTATCAGTGATACAGTTTATTTTATTTATATGTAAAAAGGCCTTTATACAAAGGTTGAAAGATAAAGTTTAAAGACTAGATTTGGTCATTTGATGTAACTATAATAAAAGCAATAACATATAGGCCCCCATTCAAAAAATTTAAAAATCAAAAATTTTAATCCAAAATTACATTATATTCTTACATTAAAGAAAATTATACATAGATTTTGCTGTCAAACATTAAGCTCAGTGTAATTAGCGGAAATGATCACTTGAAGGGTTTATTGATGTGGGGGTCTGGGGGCCCTTCCCTAGAAAATTTTGCATTTCTTAGATGCATTTTCCTGCATCTGACTAAATTGTGTCCCGTTTCAGCTCAACACAGAACCATACTTTTATTTTGTTCTTTGAGCGTGGCTTGTATTTCTTGCAATAAGCTACAGAAAATTAAGATAATTAATAACTGGAAATGTTAAGTTTGCACAGTATCATCGTGCACAGAAATCCCCTCACCAAACCAATGGTGTGCTTGGCCTGGTAGAGTTTTTTTTTAGGCTATAGGGAAGATTACCGGTATTATATTAAGGTTTTTTGTGTGTGCCTATTTTTGGTTTATTTTGGTTGTTAGTTACCCGGTTTATTAAATGAATCACTTTTTGTGTGCTAAACTTTTCCTGCCAACCTACTGTGGCCCCCCCAAGGTTGGAGTTGGCGTTCGCAGGTGCACAGTTTGTAGAACTAGACCTAAACATGAGGACCGTCGCCAGGAAACCATGACAAACGCCCTAAGAAGAGAGATTACTGAGTGGAGAATGCTTTAAACGGATGACGTCATAAGGGGGAGCTGAATCAAGAACAGTAGAACTCTAAGTTCTAGCTACGAGAGGGGGGGAGAGAGAATCAGGACGCTCACAATCGCCACAGTAGAGTTGTTCAAAATTATTGATGTTTTTAGTTATTCGTAAAAAAATATGGAACAATCGATACGGGACGCATAATTTAACTGTCAAATATAGGACGATTCCGTATTACAAGGGACGGGTGGCAACCCTAGTCACTATACCTAAAGTAGTAAAAACAAAAGCTTCTTTCAGAAATGTATGAAAAACATTTACAAAAAGAAACAAACACATTTTCTTTTTGACAACATAACCTCAGAATATTAAGCCTAATACAATTATATTACTATTAACGTATTAGTTTATTTTTTTTATTTTTAAATAATTTACACTTGGTAAAATTTTAGAGTTTGCTTCTCACAGGGGCTCATCTTATTGGACAAAATCCAAAACAATGTGGATATAAATTATGTGTTGGAAAAAGGTACAGGTGTTCAAGTTACATAAATTTGCAACATGCATGCAAAGGATGTCCCATAATACAAGCATTGCATAAATTTTAAGTTTTGAAGCGGAAAACTACTAAAATACAGTATAAGACTTCACCACATGGTCTTCTAAATGTTTTAAACAAGTAGAACTACAAGTGTTGCGGCGAACGCCCCCTTTTGTTTACATCAGCTGTTTAAGCGTGAGCGTGCAGTTTACCTGCGTGCAATCAATCAGTCAATCAAAAGGTGAGACAAACTTCCTAGTTCAAGCAGAGGATCGCAGCATGAAAATAAAAAGCCCCTGTTTACTCGGGCAGTGGAAGAAGCTGTGCAAAATTTGTATTAAGGAAGCAAAGGACTGAACAGACAGCCGGTAAGCTTGCATTTAATTCTGTTGTGAAAAGAATGTATGCGCCGTGCTGATGAGGCGTTGAGACGTGCGGGAAATGTTTGTTCGTACTGTTAAGCTTATAAATACTCACACGGTGCGTCATGAAAGTTTTGCCTTGTAAGTCTTGCTTGCTTGCTTTATTTGGCTGGAGAAATGCTGGTGTAACCTTTTTCAGTGATTTAACGTTGCGGTTGAACAATCCAAATTGTGTTTGTGAAACTGTTGCACGGGGTAATTTTTGCATATTTCTTCTGTGTGTGATTAAAATAGACTTCTAACAGTTAAAATGAAATTTCATAGTCTACGTTATACATATTTAAAACAAACTAAAAATCACTCACTGGTTATTTATTATTGCTATTTAAAAATTGATGTAATCTATGGAGTTAAATAACCTGCATAAATCACTTCCGTTAAAATGCTTGAATACGTTTTTTGATGCATTTTTTATGATAATTAAAAACTAAATGGTCTTAATTTAAAGTTAAAAACATAGTCTATTTTCATAAATATATTAAATGTTGCATTTCTCAGAACTATTACAATTTGCTAGATGGTAAATGCTTTGTCTGGTTTCATTTCTTTCAAAGGTTTTTCACCTGCTTTATTAAATGATTCTGTAAACCTGTAAAAAACACAAGAAGAAGAATAAAAAAGGAAAAAATGAAACAACAGTTTGGTCATTGAGTGGAATCCAGTTTAATGTTCAGCTTAATACAACCCTTCAAGTGTGGGAATAGCACAGCAAAAATCAAATCACTTGACAGTGAAAAACCGCGTCCAGCTGGTTGAAGAGGTCCCATCCAGCCAGACTGAAACTGCCTGCAAAGCTTCAGCGCCCTGCAAAGCCCGCCTGCCGCTGAGTCCACATCCAACCTGCCATTCTCTCCAAAACCCAAAATGGCTGAGTCAAAATCTCTGCAACAGGTAAAAAGAGAGAGAACAACTGCCAAGCAGCGGTTTACCCGGCAAGCAAACTCCCTTTTGAAGTCCTGCAAGAAAATGCCAGCTGAAGAACTAATGGATGCCTTCAGCAAGGTCACACTTGAGGCTGAGAAGGTAATGGAGGCAAATGAGGAAGTGGAAATATTCACTGAGGAAGCAGAGCTTGAAGCAGCTGATAAAGCAGACATACATGCAGATGTGAGAAAAACAACAGAGGACTGCGAACAGAAGCTAGAAGAGGTAGAGGCCGCTGTTCAGAAGACTCTGTGGCAAAGTTTTGGCTACGCCGAACTCTCTCTTGCACTAGAGGCAGCTGAGAAGGAGTGTAAGCGACTCACTATAAGCGCATGTGACCTGAAGCTGGAGGTGTATGAACTAATGCTCAGAAACATTGAGCGGCTGGTGAAGACTGCAAAAGAAACCATGCGCCAATGGACTCGGTGGGTGCCAGAAGAGGAGCGGCCTGATTTCCAGAAGCGCATCAGGAGTGTAGAAGGCTCACTACTGGAGTTAACCTCTGAGAAAGCTGGTCATCTGCAGACAAAGCTGGAAAACGAGTCAGCTGAGGAAACACCACGCAAGTCACCTGCCATCAAACTAAAACCAACGGCACTCCCACTGTTTGATGGTAACAAGCGCAACTTCTATCTCTGGAGGAAAGAATGGGAGGCGCTTCAAAGACAAGGGGAACCGACCGGCTCCAAGGAGGTCAAGAAGATTCAGCTTTTGGGCAGCCTGGAGGACAAAGTAGTGAGGGACCTTCGCCTATCAACATATGGAGCGGCGGAGGAGATCTTCCGTGTCCTTGAAAACAGGTTTGGAAATAAGACAGCAATTGCACTGGAAATCATTGAGGAGCTACAGGCGCTGCCACCAGTGAAAAGTCACCAACCTAGGAAGATTGTGGACTTAATACAAATTGTGGAAAAGGCCTTGTATGACCTCAGTGGCCTGGAAAACACTGGTGCTCTGAGAAACCCACTCATTACAAAGGCTCTAGAGAGTAAGCTGCCTGATGGCCTAAAGAAGGAGTGGCTGGTCCATGTGTCAGAAAGAGAGGAAGATGCCTCCCCTGAAGACAGGTTTGACATGCTCCTCAAGTTCCTGAGAAGTCAGGAGAAGATTTATGAGCAGCTGGACCAACTGAAGGATGAGGACCCCAGCAGAAGGGAAACAAGAGTCCCCCAAAAGCATGCACGCTCAAAGACCACCAACTCCCAGTGCTCCCAAGCATCCTGCGTCGTCTGTGGAGAGAGGGGCCACAGAAAGAAACTCTACTACTGCAAGAAATTCAAAACTCTCAAAGTACCTGAGAGGAGAGAAGCAGTTGAGAGGATTGGTGCATGTGGGAGGTGTCTCGATGTCCATGATGATGACACAGAGTGCAAGACCACCTTCCTGTGCAAGAACGAGGGGTGTAAGGGCGCTCATCACTTCTACCTCTGTCCCAAGGCTGGAAGCAGAGGAGATGGGCCACAGAGGCCGAAGTCCAGTCAATCAAGAAGTGGATGGAAAAGGGGCACAGAGACACAGGAGGAGTTTCTGACAAGCCTGCCCCCTGACCTTTCTCAACGATGCCGAAATGTGTTCTGTAACTCTGTCGCCAAGACATGCAGATCAGCTGTGGAAGAGAGGAGTCTGCTAGCTGAAATTGGCCTTGAAGAGTTCCCTGTTATAATGATGATCCTGGAAGTCACTGCAAACGCCGGCCAGAAGATCGGGACGTTGATAGATTTGGCGTCTGACACCAACTACATCACCCATGAGGCTGCCAGTGAGCTAAATTTGAGGAGTGAAAATGTAACACTTATAGTCCATGGAGTCGGTGGGATGCAAGTGACAGTGGAGACCAAGCGCTACCTCCTGAAGATCAGGGTCGCAACTCCAAAGGGAGCCCTCAAATCCCACCAGCTTGTGTGTTATGGGCTGGACAGCATAGCAGAGGTCAATCATTGTGTGTCGCCCATAACTCTGCAAAAAATATTCCCCGACGTCCCTCTTAATGAACTGGTCCGTCCC